TACTGGAGTGAGTTGCCGTTTTCTCCTCCAGGGGAGCTTCCAAACACAGGGATCTGAACCTGGGTCTCTTAGGCCTCCTGCATTGGCAGGCAGGTTCTTTACCACTAGTGCCCAAAATCTCAAAATTTTCAGAAAAGGAGTTGAACCACAGAAGAGGTTTTGGCAAAATATAGGAAATCTGAGCAGGGCATTGAATGAAAAGTGGAAATTATTAGATGAAAATAAGAAAGATACTAGAAGTAAAGAAAACATAAATGAGGAATTCCCTGGTGGTCCAGAGCTTAGCAGCAGTGGCAGCAGGACTGGAAAAGGTCAATCCTCATCCCAATTCCCAAGAAGGGGAGTACTAAAGAATGTGCTAGCCACTGGACAGTTGCGCTCATCTCCCATGCTAATAGGGTCATGCTTAAAATCTTACATGCTAGGCTCAGCATTATGTGAATCAAGAACTTCCAGATGTCTAAGCTGGGTTTAGAAAAGGAAGAGGAACCAGAGACCAAATTGCCAACATTTGCTGGATTATAGAGAAAACAAGGGAATTTCAGAAAAACATCTATCTCTGTTTCGTCAACTATGCCAAATCCTTTGACTGTGTGGATCATGACAAACTGCGGAAAGCTCTTAGAGAGATGGGAATACCAGACCATCTTACCTGTCTCCTGAGAAACCTGTTTGTGGGTCAAGAAGCAACAGTTAGTATGGAACAACTGATTGGTTTAAGATCGAGAAAGGAGTATGACAGGGATGTCTGCTGTCACCCTGTTTGTTTAATCTATACACTGAGCACATCAGGCGAAATGCACACTGGGTGAGTTACAAGCCAGAATTAAGATAGGCGGGAGAATCATAAACAACCTTGGATATGTGGATGTTATCACTGTAACAGCAGAAAGCAAAGAGAAACCAAAGAACCTCCTGATGAGGGTGAAGAAGCAGAGTGAAAGAGCTGGCATAAGACTAAATATTAAAAAAAAAAAAACCTAAGATCATAGCATCCAGCCCCATTACTGCATGGCAAATAGAAGGGGAAAGTTGGAAGTAGTCACAGATTTCCTCTTCCTGGTCTCCAAAATCACTGTGGATGGTGACCACAGCCATGAAATCAGAAGATAAATGCTTCTTGGAAGGAAAATGATGATAAACTTAGACAGTGTGTTGAAAAGCAGAGACATTGCTGACAAAGGTCCATATACCATATAGTCAAGGCTATGGTCTTTCCAGTGGTCATGTATGGTTGTGAGAGTTGGACCATAAAGAAGGCAAGATTTCTGAAAGTCTCCTGGACAGCAAGGAGATTGAACCAGTAAATCTTATGGAAGGTCAACCCTGAATATTCACTGGAAAGACTAATGCTGAAGCTGAAGCTCCAGTATTTTGGTCATTGGATGTGAATAGATGACTCATTGGAAAAGTCCCTGATGCTGGGAAAGATTGAGGGCAGAAGGAGATGAGGGCATCAGAGGATGAGATGGCTGGGCGGCATCACTGATGCAATGAACATGAACTTGGGCAAACTCCCAGAGAGGGATAGGGAGGCCTGAGGGATAGTGAGGCTGCAGTCCATGGGGTTGCAAAGAGTCAGACACAACTGGGTTACTGAATAAGAGCAACCAGAGGTTAGGACTCAGCACTTGGCCAGGGCCCAGGTTCAATCCTTGGTTAGAGAACTAAGATCCTGCAAGCCATGTGGTGGGGCCAAAAACAGAAAGAGAGAGAGAGGACACAGGCCAAGTCACAAAAGTGAAGTTGATTTGCTGATTTAACAAAAATGAGCCTGGTGTAATGTAGTCCATGGGATCGCAAAGAGTCGGACACAACTGAGCGACCAATCTGAACTGAGAATAAAAGAGGACCCAAAATTATGCAGTCTTGACAATGGAGTTAAGAGGAAATATAACCTTTAAAGCTGGGTCATCAAATTCCATTTCTCAGTCTGAGTCCTTTTCTTTACTTTCCACAGTGACTGTTCCAAATTTTTCTCTCCAGTTCACCAAATTGTCTTACTCTCAGCAAATAACCTTGCCTCCTACTTTACTAAGAAATCATTCCACACTAGCTTCTCTCTTCCTCAAATTGTCTTCCCTATTTACTCTTGTGTCAGAAGAGATTTATTTTCTTTCCTTCCTTATTTTCACTGTGTGTCATCCTGAAATGTTCCCTCCGTCTTACCAAGTCTCAAATTCAAGTTTTCTTCTGTTGTGAGATGTTGAACTTCTCAAAAGAATCTCCTATTTTCAAGCCCACTTTTTCTCTACAATCCCTTCATGCCCCCCATTGTGGTCTCCAATCTGGCTTCCGCCCACTCTACCGACACACCTCTGTGACATGTGCCCTTGTCTCCAAATCCAAAATTTCTTTAACTCATCCACTTTGGCTTCTCAGCAGCCTCTAACACTGTGGATCACCTCCTTTCTGAAGCTTCTCCTTCACCTGCCATTACCCTAAACTTTCCTGATTTCCCTATTTCATTAACTGTCCTTTCCTGTTTATTACCTCCTCTTCCTACTTTTCACCCCCAAATGCAGATACATCCCAAGTTCTTCTTTTTAAAAATGTTTCTCTTTAGACACAGATGTATAGAACAGACTTTTGGACTCTTAACATCTTTTTATCTTTCCTGTTCTCATGGCTTTAACTGTTCCCTGTAGGGACTACCCCATAATACACCTTTATCTTTCATTTCTCTTTGAAACTCAAACTGATATTTTTTATTGCCCATTAGAAATCTTATAAGCACCTTTATACTCAACAAGGAAGAACTTCTCATTTCCTGCCCAGAAACTTCACCTTCTGACCACAAGATTAATTCAGGCTTCCCGGAATGGAATTTCAGACTCACCTTTAAACCCTTCCTCCCCTCATCCTCCAATGTTCATGAGTTGACAAGTTGTTTTGATTTCACAATGTCTCTCAAATCTGCTGTTTCTTTTCTATTTCTAATGCCAAAACTGACTCAGGTTTTCACTGCCTCTTAGGTGGACTATTGCTGTGGCCTTTTCTTTGGCTTCTCTGTCTCAGTCCTTTTCCTGCTCTACCTCCACAACATACTGTTGGGACAGAAATCTATGTTCTGTCCTTAGCACTTCCTTGCTTGACAGTTTTCCATCTCTACTCACTATCTACAAAATAAACTTCAAATTTTCTAACTTGACCTTTAAAATTCTCCATAAACTGGCTTTAATGTGTCTTTCCCTCTCTCTCATTACCTCTCACGCTTTATTGAGGCTATGCAGATTACCCTAACATGCTCCACCCTTCTTGCCTCATTGCACCACCTTTTTAAAAAATTAATATTAAAATTAAATATAAAACATTAAAGAACTTGAAGAGAATTTTACCATTCTAAGACAACTGTTTTCATCTGCACTTATTATTGCTTGGTCCTTTTCTGTAAGAATAAAGGTGTTATATAAATGCAATAAGTACTTGCTCTTCTGTATTTTATTATAAGATTATATTTTTAAAATTTTCTGTCCATAATTATCACTGCAAAAGACTGCATTACATTTGATGTATCCTAATTCTTAAAAATTTTCCTTAGATTGGACATTTCTAAAGCTCACAAGGTCTTGCTAGTTGCTACGTAGACAATATAGGCAGTAATATAATGAACAACTTAAAATTTAAAATAATTTTGGTCAAGTTATTTTAATCTTTGCTTTGGATTTACTTGGTTAAAAAGTTTATTACTTTATTTGCAACAATGTGGATGGACCTATAGGGTATTATGCTTTAGTGAAATTAGTCAGGCAGAGAAAGACTAGAACACTCTATGTTATTACTTGTATATGGAATCTAAAAACTAAAACAAATGAATGAATACAATAAAACAGAAATAAATTCACAGTTATAGAGAACAAACTAGTGGTTACCAACTCTCTTCTGTATTTTGTTTGTATCCTACCCAGAGTTCCTACATGTTTCCTACAGAGATCGGAGTGAGAGACTGAAAGAGCTGGTCATATCAGATCAGTATAAAATGTTGGCAAGAAAATCTTAGGATTCCTATTTCTTCCACCCTCTGAAAAAAGAATAATATTTTCATATGTTTTGCAGCATCTCAAATTGACCATATACATCTAAGTTTCATCCAAAATGCAGTATGCAATGTTACTGCGGAAGATTTGGAAGCCTGGTTTTAAAAACAGGATGTTGGGGAGACCCAAGCAAGAGTTTGGGTTCTGATTCTTTTGTTTTGATACGATATAACTATGCTGAACCTATTTTCCTAACATTAATTTTTGCCTCATAAGTTTTGGTTAATTTGAGGTTAATTTTTGCCTCATCATTTGCCTTTCATACTGAAACATGAGGTGGGAATTCCCTAGCGGTCCAGCAGTGAGGACTCCACGCTTTCATTGTGGAGGTCCAGGGCTCAACTCTTATTCAAGGAACTAAGATCCCACAAGTCATGCAGTGCAGCCAAAAAAATAAATGCCTTATACCTTAGCTGTGATCTAAGCTTCCCATCCTCTTTTAGACAGAAAATTAAACCCGTCCCTCTTCTTTGACGTGAAAGTGTCAGTCACTCGGTCGTGTCCAACTCTGCAGTCCCAAGAACTGTAGCCTGCCAGGCTCCTCTGCCCATGGTATTCTCTGTCCATGGAATTCTCCAGGCAAAAATACTGGAGTGGGTTGCCATTCCCTTCTCCAAGGGATCTTCCCAACCCAGGGATCGAACCCAGGTCTCCTGCATTGCAGGCGGATTCTTTACCACATGAGCCACCAGGAAAGCCTTGTGGCTTTACATCCCATTAATACATTGCTAATTCTGGTCTTAAACAATCACCACACTCGGTCATTCTACTTTCCACACACATACGTGCACACACACACACACACACACACACACACACGCACAGTGTATTATACAACTGTAGCTGGTTACTATGAATTTGCATTTCAGTCCAAAGAGAGAAAAATCTGAAACCAATTTCAGAACCAAGAGAAAATTTTATTCATGGGAGTATTTCTATTACCCAGTCTGCTCAGCTACAAGGTCAGGGCAACATTTTTGCCTTCAACTTGGCCTTCTTTCTTTCCAGAAAATATTTTACTTTCTCCACTGTTAAATCACTTTTCTTTAATCTTTGTGTAAATTTCTTTATGGCTTTGCAAAGTTCCTTACTCTCCTGAAAGGCAAGCTGAAGAAAAAACACCTTTTTAGGTTACAGTTTAAGAACTGAGACCCAGTGCTACCCTCAGGAGTTAATGAGTGGTGTTTAGGTCCCAAATGAAGGCTTCAGTGGGAATCTGGGTCTTCAATATGCTGAATCATCTAAATTTTCAGGATGGCTGTGGACTGCCTAAGCCCCTTCCAGGATGCTGCCAAGTGTCACTCTCCTCCCACAGGGACACAGAGATACATATAAAACCTTGCAATTAGGTGCGTCTTGGGGGAAGGTACCACTGTCTGCCCTTAGGGTCATTTTTTATTTTCAGAAAATAAAATTTAGAGATTTAAGTTTACTCATCATCCCAGTAATAAATGTAGACTAAGAGAGGAGATGGGCTTCCCTGGTGGCTCAGTGGTAAAGAATTCACCTGCCCATGGGAAACACAAGAGATGTCAGTTTGATCCCCTGGAGAAGGAAATGGCAACCAACTCCAGTATTATTGTCTGGGAAATCCCATGGACTGAGGAGCTTAGTGGGCTACATAGTCCGTGGGGTCTCAAAGAGTTGGATGTGACTTGGCAACTAACCAACAACAACAGAAAGAGAGGAGTGTCAATGAAAACAGATCTTTCAGTGTTTTTGTGATTTTTTTTTAAAGTCTGGAAAAATTTTAGAGACTTTTCATAGCAATACTTCCAAGCCTAAGACATGAAATTATGTATCTTGCTCTTTAAAGCACATGAGACAACAACTCTTACCAACAGAGCTTCATGAGACATTCATGGTGATGGTGGAGAATGGGAACTCATGCACAAAATCATGAGTTAATAGTTTATGAGTCCCACTGTACAAACAGGCCAAGATCAGCCCATTCAAAGGCATTGCAAATGAACCCTGGAGGTGCCAATGTGAATAAGACAGAAAAGAGCCCACTACTTACAAATGCCTTCTCCAACTCTAACTCAGCTGGTTTGGGAGCTTCTTGGATCAACTCACAGATGGGAGGGGTACTGGTCCACTCCCCATCGATACACTGTTGGTGCTGTGTGCCCACCAGGCGGTACCTGGACACAAGGTGAAATGGAAACAACTTTTAGCCTTCCATTTCTTGAACTGGGCAACTAAAGTTGGTTTTATATAATAGTATTTCACACTGTGAAATAGAAATACTAAAATCTACTTTCCTGCCCCAGAGCTCTAATGCATTCTTAAGTTATCTCAGTATTACACAGCAATCGTAAAGTAAAACCACTCTCCTGGGGATGGAGAGGACCCAAGAGATATATCAGCGTGTAAGATATGGAGAAATGAAAAATTCTAAATATGTGTTTTTAAGCATACAGTTTGGGGTGGGGAGGGTAAGGGAAGAAACTTCATCATTCAGTAATTTTTAAAGTCAACTGTCATCTATACTCCAAAAAGCAGAAAGCTAGAGACAGCTTTCAAATAAGTCTTGGTGAACTGGCTTAAAAGGAGACTCAGCTTTCAACTAGAAAAACAGGAGAATTGATGGCAAAAGCCACTGGAGATATAAATGCCTGTGAGGTCTCATGACTCTGGGTTAAGATTGAGGCCAGAAAAAGGAAAGGCTAGGAGATCATTAAGGGCACGACCAGGCAGTCCAAGTTAAGGTTAGACTTTAATTATGATGTCCTAAGGGCTTCTATGGTAGCTCAGCAGTAAAGAATCTGCCTGTCAATGCAGGAGACACGAGTTCAATCCTTGGTCCAGGAAGATCCCCTGGAGCAGGAAATGGCAACCCACTCCAATATTCCTCCCTGGGAAGTCCCATGGAGAAAGGAGCCTGGCGGTCTACAGTCTGTGGGGTCATGAAGTGTTGGACACGACTTAGAGATTAAACACTAACAGCAAGGATCTAAATAGTTCTATTTCTATACTTTCATATCTTCTGTGGGGGGGGGGGGGTTGTTTAGTTTTTTGTTCTGCTATTCTTTAGAAAAACATACATTTTAAACATTCCATTTTGTCTTAGCTAAGAGAAAAGAAAGTGATACATAACTTAGGATAAATAGGAGAGTTAGGCTGTCTTCTAGAACTTGGGGAGACCTGGCAGTGGGTAAAGCAGCTCTCAAAATTAGAATCAGTGGGTAAAGCAGCTCTCAAAATCAGAATGTGCTTGGTAATCAACAGACAAGGTTGAGACAGACTGGGGCATTTCTGAAGCAAGGCTACCAGTCAATGGGCAAAGTCTTATGTTTAGAAGTGTGCAGTACACTTACCTTGCTTCACAGTAATAAGTGATGGTAGATCCTGACTTGAAATCTCTTCCTTCAAAATAGCCATGAGTTGGAGTCTCAGGATGGCCACAGTCTCCTGATAGACAGGATTATAAGGATGACAGTTGTGAAGCATTCCTAGAATAATGCTCAGAGAACAACACCAGCCACTGCAGTGCAATGGTCTAGGCCAGCACCCACCATCTTCAGAGCAGCCCATGTGGGACCTCAGACATGTTCTCCATTTATTTTGTTCTGGTCGAAATTATACTTGCCCATGGGAAAGACTCCCCACCCTGACTCATTCTCTGGGTCACTAGCGATCTGAAAGTACTTTCTGACTGGCAGGATTTGAGGAAAGAAAAGTTAAGTTGTAGAGATGCTAACTGTCAGTGGACAAGAAGAGAAAAATGAGACTATAGGTAGAGATGGAAGAACTCTTGAAACAGTAGATAAATAGAGTGAGCTCAGATAGAGACTGACTGCCCCTGTGTGACAGTTGTACCATATGAGAGCTTCAGAAAAAAAGGAGAACAGAACTGGGAGGAAAGAGGGTGAGTCTATAAAGTTGTGGAGAGAGAGGTGGGCAAGGTACTAGACGTCATGAGCTTTGTTTTTGGCCCTTCCACTAACCACACAGCATGAAACAAGCCTTTTCATCTTTCTCGGCTTCCTCCCTTAATCTATAAGATGAGCAGGCTAAATAATATTATCACTAACGTCCCTTTCACTTCTGAGATTACATGAGTCTAAACATGTTGATCAAGATTAATGGATAAATTAATAGTAATTATGTAGGTATGTTTATTGAAAAATAAAGGTCTTTGAAACATAAAGATAACTAAAACACCAAAGCATAAAAGAGCATGTGTAATATAATACTATTTTTGTAAAAAATACGCCAACATATATGAATAGAAAACAAAGTCTGAAAATTATATACCAAAGTACTCTGTTATTCTAGAGTGGTAGATCTGTAGGTAATTAAATATTTTCTTCTTTTATCTTCTATATTTTTCTACAACAGAGGTGTATTGCTTGAGGTATTAATACATAATTTTCAAAAGATCAAAAACTGAGTTCAAAGTTATGTGGAAGAAAGAAAGAAGAATTGCAATGAGTTGACTGAGGAACAACAGTGTTCTGAATGGACACCTCACCAAAGATGTACAGATGGCACATGAAAAGATGCTTTACATCATATGTCAGGGAAATATAAATTAAAACAAGACACCATTGCACATCTATTAGAATGGTCAGATTCTGCAACCTGCCTGACTTCAGACTATACTACAAAGCCACAGTCATCAAGACAGTATGGTACTGGCACAAAGACAGAAATATACATCAATGCAACAGAATAGAAAGCCCAGAGATAAATCCACGAACCTATGGTCACCTCATCTTCGACAAAGGAGGCAAGGATATACAATGGAAAAAAGACAACCTCTTTAACAAGTGGTGTTGAGAAAACTGGTCAACCACTTGTAAAAGAATGAAACTAGAACACTTTCTAACACCATACACAAAAATAAACTCAAAATGGATTAAAGATCTAAATGTAAGACCAGAAACTATAAAACTCCTAGAGGAGAACATAGGCAAAACACTCTCCGACATAAATCACAGCAGGATCCTCTATGACCCACATCCCAGAATTTTAGAAACAAAAGCAAAAATAAACAAATGGAACCTAATGAAACTTAAAAGCTTTTGCACAACAAAGGAAACTATAAGCAAGGTGAAAAGACAGCCCTCAGATTGGGAGAAAATAATAGCAAACGAAGCAACAGACAAAGGATTAATCTCAAAACTATACAAGTAACTCCTCCAGCTCAACTTCAGAAAAATAAATGACCCAATCAAAAAATGGGCCAAAGAACTAACAGACATTTCTCCAAGGAAGACATACAGATGGCTAAGAAACACATGAAAAGATGCTCAACATCACTCATTATCAGAGAAATGCAAATCAAAACCACAATGAGGTACCATTACACGCCAGTCAGGATGGCTGCTATCCAAAAGTCTACAAGCAATAAATGCTGGAGAGGGTGTGGAGAAAAGGGAACCCTCTTACACTGTTGGTAGGAATGCAAACTAGTACAGCCACTATGGAAAACAGTGTGGAGATTTCTTAAAAAGCTGGAAATAGAACTGCCATATGACCCAGCAATCCCACTTCTGGGCATACACACCGAGGAAACCAGACCTGAAAGAGACACGTGCACCCCAATGTTCATCGCAGCACTGTTTATAATAGCCAGGACATGGAAGCAACCTATATGCCCATCAGCAGACGAATGGATGAGGAAGCTGTGGTACATATACACCATGGAATATTACTCAGCCATTAAAAAGAATTCATTTGAATCAGTTCTAATGAGATGGATGAAACTGGAGCCCATTATACAGAGTGAAGTAAGCCAGAAAGATAAAGACCATTACAGTATACTAACACATATATATGGAATTTAGAAAGATGGTAACGATAACCCTATATGCAAAACAGAAAAAGAGACTCAGATGTATAGTACAGACTTGTGGACTCTGGGAGAAGGCGAGGGTGGGATCTTTCAAGAGAACAGCATCGAAACATGTATATTATCTAAGGTGAAACAGATCACCAGCCCAGGTTGGGTGCATGAGACAAGTGCTCGGGCCTGGTGCACTGGGAAGACCCAGAGGGATCGGGTGGAGAGGGAGGTGGGAGGGGGGACTGGGATGGGGAATACATGTAAATCCATGGCTGACTCATTTCAATGTATGACAAAAACCACTGCAATGATGTAAAGTAATTAGCCTCCAACTAATAAAAATAAATGGAAAAAAAAAAAAGAAAAGCAGTTGGGTTGTCTGAAATTTCAGGCTACTACAAATAAAGCCTCCATGAACAAAAAAAAAAAAAAAATAGAATGGTCAGATTCTGGAGCATTGACCAAACCAAACGCTAGGAAGGATTTGGAGCAACAATATCTTTCATACATTGCTGATAGGAATGCAAAATGGTAGAGTCACTTTGGAAGATATTTTGGTGGTTTCTCAAAAAACTAAATGTATGCTGATCAATCATACACTCCAACTCCCAAAGGAGGTGAAAACTTACATCCATACAAAAACCTTCACATGGATATTTTTAGCAGCTTTATTCATAATTGCCCAAACTTGGAAGAAACCAAGATGTCCTTCAGAAAGTGAATGGATAAGTAAACAGTGGTACATCCAGAAATATTATTCAGCACTAAAAAGAAATGAGCTATCAGCCATGAAAAACATGAAGGAAACTTATGGATGTTACTAAGTGAAAGAAGCCAATCTGAAAAGGCTACAAATGTATGATTCTAACTATAGGACATTCTGAAAAAGGCAAAAATGCAGAAACAACAAAAAGATCAGTGGTTGAGAAGGGTGGGGGAGTAAAGTGATAAATAAGCAGAGCACAGATGATTTTTAGGGTGGTGAGACTACTCCACACGAGGTTATAATGATGTACATGTGTTATTATACATTGGTCCAAATCCATTGAATGTATAATACTGACAGTGAACTCTTAGGTAAACTATGGACTTTGAGTGATAACGATGTGTCAGTTACCACAAATGCACCACTCTGTGAGTGATGTTGATAATGGGTGGGAAGCTGTGCATGTGTGGGTGTGGGAGCAGCAGGGGAAATCTCTGGATCTTCCTCTCAACTTTATTAGAAACCTAAAACTGCTCTAAAACATGAAGTGTTGAAATAAAGAATTAAATGTTGCAGTGTCGGATATGTACAACTCCAAATGAGATTTTTAAATTAATTTTTTGTTTCTTATTTTTAAATTGAAAGTTCTGGTTAGGATTGCATTGTAATACTGAGTCTGTGTGTCTGGGATCTTTTCTTTCATTCATACTTTCTTTTCTGCTCTTTGGAAAATTTTCATATAGGTCTCATGAATGGAATTATTTTTACATGGAATAATTTATTAAATTATTCTAAATATAATGAAATATTTCAATATTTATCTAATAGTTATTACCAGAAAGTGAAACTGTTGATTTTTCAATATTTATTTTGTAACCAAGAATAAAGTTTTTAGTAAATAATAGAATTACTTGGATTTTTTACATATATTTAGCAAATGATGATATCATGTGACTCACCAATCACTCTAGGAGTCTATTCTGTAGAAATAATAGCATAAAGTTGTATGTGTATACACACTCACACACACATATATATATACATTCATTTCATCACTGTAAAGCAAAACTATAGAAATAAGATAAATGTTCATCAATGTGAGAGATGGCATAACGACATACAGTTAAAAAGTAGGAGACAGAGCTTTACATACTGATCTGAAAAAGTTTCCACATATACTGTTATATGAAAAAATAAGGCTATTTCAAAAATATATATAGCCAAATACCATCGTTGTAGGTAAATATGTGGTTTGTAACACTGTACAAGATGCAGTGATAAAAACCATCCCCAGATACATGTAAATCCATGGCTGAGTCATGTCAATGTATGACAAAAACCACTACAATATTGTAAAGTAATTAGCCTCCAACTAATAAAAATAAATGAAAAAAAAAAAAACCATCCCCAAGAAAAAGAAATCCAAGAAGGCAAAATGGTTGTCTGAGGAGGCCTTACAAACAGCTGAGAAAAGAAGAGAAGTGAAAGGCAAAGGAAAAAAGGAAAGACACACCCATCTGAATGCAGAGTTCCAAAGAACAGCAAGGAGAGATAAGAAAGCCTTCCTCAGTGATCAATGCAAAGAAATAGAGGAAAACAACAGAATGGGAAAGACTAGAGATCTCTTCAAGAAAATTAGAGATACCAAGGGAACACTTCATGCAAAGATAGGCAAAATAAAGGACAGAAATGGTATGGACCTAAAAGAAGCAAAAGATATTAAGAAAATGTGGCAAGAAAACAAAGAAGAACTATACAAAAACTATATCTTCATGAACTATATCTTCATGACTCAGATAACCATGATGGTGTGATCACCTAGATCCAGATATCCTGGAATGTGAAGTCAAGTGGGCCTTAGAAAGCATCACTACGAACAAAACTAGCGGAGTTGAAGGAATTCCAGTTGAGCTATTTCAAATCCTAAAAGATGACGCTGTGAAAGTGTTGCACTCAATATGCCAGCAAATTTGGAAAACTCAGCAGTGGCCACAAGACTGGAAAAGGTCAGTTTTCATTTCAAGCCCAAAGAAGGGCAATGCCAAAGAATGTTCAAACTACCACACAGTTGCACTCATTTCACATGCCAGCAAGGTAATGCTCAAAACTATTCAAGCTAGGCTTCAACAATACATGAATAGAGAACTTCCATATGTTCAATCTGGATTTTGAACAGGTAGAGAAACCAGAAATAAAATTGTCAACATCCATAGAATCATAGATTCCATGCAAGATTGCATAGATTCCAAGCAAGAGAGTTCCAGAAAACACCTACTTCTTCATTGACTATGCTAAAGCCTTTGACTATGTGGATCACAACAAACTGGAAAATTCTTAAACAGATGGGAATACCAAGCCACCTTACCAACCTCCTGAGAAACCTGTACAATGTAGGTCAAGAAGCAACAGTTGGAACCAGACATGGAACAACAGACTGCTTCCAAATTGGGAAAGGAGTATGTCAAGGCTGCTACCCTGCTTATTTAACTTATATGCAGAGTACATCATGAGAAATGCCGGGCTGGATGAAGTACAAGCTGGCTATTAAGGTTACTGGGAGAAATATCAATAACCTCAGATATGCAGATGACACCACCCTTATGACAGAAAGAAAAGAACTGAAGAGCCTCTTGTTGAAAGTGAAAGAGGAGAGTGAAAAAGCTGGCTTAAAATTCAACATTCAAGAAACAAAAATCATGGCATCCAGTTCCATCACTTCATGGCAAATAGATGGGGAAACAATGGAAACAGTGACAGACTTAATTTTCTTAGGCTCCAAAATCACTTCAGATGGTGACTGCAGCCATGAAATTAAAAGACGCTTGCTCCTTGAGACAGCATGTTCAAAAGCAGAGACATTACTCTGCAGACAAAGGTCCATCTAATCAAAGCTATGGTTTTTCCAATAGTCAAGTATGGACGTGAGGGTTGGACCAGTTGAGCGCTGAAGAATTGATGCTTTTGAACTGTGGTGTTGGAGAAGACTCTCCAACAGTCCAAGAGTCCCTTGGACTACAAGGAAATCCAACCCATCCATCCTAAAGGAAATCAGTCCTGAATATTCATTGGAAGGACTGATGCTGAAGCTGAAACTCCAATACTTTGGTCACCTGATAGGAAGAACTGACTCATTTGAAAAGACCCTGATATGGGGAAAGATTGAAGGCAGGAGGAGACGGGAATGACAGAGGACAAGATGGTTGGATGGCATCACCAACTCAATGGACATGAGTTTGAGCAAGCTCCGGGAGTTGGTGAAGGGCAGGGAAGGCTGGTGTTCTGCAGTCCATGGGGTCTCAAAGAGTCAGACACAACTGAGCGACTGAACAGCAACAAATGTCTGTTCATGTGTGTGTGCATTTGTTTAAATATCTGTGTAAACAGAAGAAAAAGTCATTAAACACATCCAACCAATTATCTCTAAGAGCTATGACTTGTACTGACAAAGAAAATATGCTCAAATTTATTTTATGTAATTTTGCAATGAATTTGGTTTTTTCCCTGTTTTGTGTATCTTTCAAGAAAAGGTATTGCTTAATCTTGAAGTTTTACAAAAACATAGTCAGATGTCCCAAACTACCCTGTTTTAGACCTACTAGCACAGGAATCCTACTTCAGGGGGATTATTGTTGGGTGTTAATCATTTCATTAGAATGCATTGCTTGAGTTGAGGCTTGGCTCTTTCTTGATTGCCTACTGGATCCTAAAACCCTCCCCCCAGATACAAGAAAGAGAATAGTGCTGTGGATTTGTGGCAAATGTCTAGATTTTCATTGCTGATCAGTGTCTTTGGGATTTTCACTCTTTTCTCTTATACTTACTGCTTTTGCAGACAGGAACGTGAGTCAACCAGGTGTGGTCTTCTCGGCACTGGCTCCAATTGCTGCCCTTGAGGATGCAATGCTCGTTGCATTTAAACATGATAGTGTCATTCACATTGACAGGTTCCAAGGAACTGAACTCATCAGTCACCAGCAAGGGGTCAGGACAGTGGCCCACTGAAAAAGAAAACAGGCAGAGAGCTGAAAGGGCGAAGCTGAAACCCACCACAGCAAAGGGTAGACCTCCTTAGGCTTCACCAATAAGAGTGAAAACGAGAAGTAAAACTGCATCTTTTGTTTATTTATTTATTTTCTACACCGAACAGCTTGTGGGATCTTAGTTCCCCAACCAGGAATTGAACCCAGGCCCTCAGCAGTGAGAGTGCAGAATTCTAACCACTGGACCACCAGGGAATTCCCAAAACTGCACCTTTTATTATGGACTGGTTGCTGCTATTGCTGCTGCTAAATCACTTCAGTCGTGTCTGACTCTTTGCAACCCCATGGACTGTAGCCCCCCAGGCTCCTCTGTCCATTAGATTCTTGAGGCAAGAATACTGGAGTGGGTTGCCATTTCTTTCTCCAGGGGATCTTCCCTACCCAAGTATCAAACTCACATCTCTTACATCTCCTGCATTGGCAGGCGGGTCTTTATCACTAGTGCCACCAGGGAAGCCCATTATGGACTGGTACCAGGAACAAAACCGTATCAATGCAGGATGAGAAAAGATTGGGTTGCCCTAAGTGAGGATACATCTTGATTGTGCACAAGAGTTACAACCGACACTAGAACTTACTGAAATTAAGAATGTAAGTGGAAATTACCAATAGCACATTCATCATTCTCTTGTGTTAAGCATTGCTCAAAATTCTTGAGCCCACGTTTAAGGCAAGTGTTTCCTTCCCTTTCATCTTGTCAGATACACACATTAGTCATCATTTTTTTACTTTTTTTGTTGTTGTTCTTGTTCTCCCCAGGTGGAAAAACAGGAGAATACAGAGGGATGTGAATTTGGTAATGTGAATAAAGGATAAATATACAGGTGTGCTTTACTCTAGGTATAAAGGAGAACTTTACACTCCAGGTATAAAGCAAAACTAATCTAGCCTTTCCTAAAAACAGTATTAATGAAGAGAATATGGACTAGTTATTCTCCATTTTTATAGACATCACAAGTGAGTTTTATGAACCTAAACAAATCACTTAGATTTCAGGTGTCACATTTGTAAATTGAGAACATAAATTTTTCCAACTCAAAAATTAAATGATGGATAAAATAAAATGGTATGATATATTTACTACAAAATAATAATGCAAAGCAGAATTGTAGATGAATAATGTCATGTGTTGATAATACATATGAGTTCATTTTTCTAATATTTAATTAATTATTTGGCTGCACTGGATCTTAGTTGTAGCCTGGGGGATCTAGTTGTCTGCACTGGATCTTAGTTGTAGCCTGGGGGATCTAGCTCCCTCACCAGCGATCAAACCCAGGTCCCTTGCATTGGAAGCATGGAGTCTTAGACACCGGATGACCTCAAAAGTCCCAGAAATGAGTTTATTTTATACTTATGTCTTTTGTATATGTTTAAATTTTTTCATAACATAAAAATTTTAAAGCAGTGTGATATTAAATAAATTAAAGTTCCCCCAAAAAAGTAGTTTTAATACATAGAAATCCTTTCCTTCTTGTAGGGGTGACTGGGTCTACTAATTTGGCTAAGTTAATTCTGAGTACAAGCTGATGGTTCATACAGTAAAGAATCTGCCTGCAATGCGGGAGACCCAGGTTTGATCCCTGGGTCAGGAAGATCCTCTGGAGAAGGGAATGGCAACCCACTCCAGTATTCTTGCCTGGAGAATCCCATGGACAAAGGAGTCTGGCGGGCTACAGTCCACGAGATCACAAACAGTAGGGCAAGACTGCAGTGACTAACACTTTTACTTTACTTTCAAGAGCTGAATGGGCTTCCCAGGTGTCGCAGCATTAAAGAATCCACCTGCCAATGAAGGAAACTCAGGTTCGATCCCTGGTTCTGGAAGGTTTCCTGTAGAAGGAAATGGCAACCCACTCCAGTATTCTTGCCTGGGAAATCCCATGAACAGAGGAGTCTGGCGGAATACAGTCCATGGGATCGCAAAAAGTTGGACGTGACTGAGCGCACACACAAACCAGAGCTACTACATACCTTCAAAGGAAAGGCTGCCACTAGAGTACTTTAAAAATGGATTCCTAAAAGTTGAGAATTTTTTTTTCTTATAAAGTCTTACCATGGCCTACTGGAGGTATGATGTTGAATACAGGGGGATGACCAGATGAACAAAGAAGCAGAAGATCAAACTTAAAGCAGCACTCAGGAGTGAGGGCATTCCATCCCTTAGAGGCATTAAAAATCATTACATAAGTTAAGTCCCCAGAATTTGTCCTTTCCCCTCTTTTGCAATGAATATGCTATTGTTCACTGGGGGAAGTTTTGGATAGCTCTTTGTTGGAAGGGAAAAAAAAAAAAAAACAATTCACTTGACATGTCACGTGCCTTGAGGAAGCACTTACTGGAGTCCCCATCCAAGTGTCTTGTTGCTTGACTATTAATTCTGACTCCTTGTATTCTCCCATGTCCATGAACATCCACATCCTTCCCTCCCCAAGGATTGTCAAAGTTTTGTTTTCAAAAGAAAAACAAGGGTTTTACTCAAATTCAGCCATTAGTTATCCACTCCTAAAAATACAATCCCCTTTCCAAATAGTAGTACCGGAGTTCATCATAAATAAGACCTCTCAAGATTTTGAAATTGGTACATTTTTCATTTCCAAAACAGAAAGGGGAAGTGGCAAAAAATGACTCACTTCTTAGAACCAGGTCATTAAATATTTACTCTTGAGTACAGAGCATAATACCAAGTAACTTGAGATTATTCAATAAAGGAAATATGTTTTATAAATTTCAATTTCATTAAAATCTTAGACAGAATGCCTCATAATCCACATGCTGATATAAAACACCTTACAGTCTGAACTTAAGAAAAGCATACATACCATCTGAGGCAGAAATCAGCCACACATCCACAAGATAGCACATAAGCCAAAAAAACATCTTATGATCAATTGTTTGACCCAGGTTGGAAATAACCCAGCCCAAGACCCTGGTTTGGATCAAAATAGGTCTTCTCACACCACTTAAGATCAGATCACTCACTCCTTCCTAGAGACAGGGTTGTGTTGATTTTTTTCTTCCCTGGAAGGAAAAAAAAAAAATTCTATGATAGGAAATAAGAATACCTGTAAGGAAGTTGGTACAAGGAGAGATTTTCCAAAGACACAAGGAGGTGATAAAAAGAATTGCTAGTTTTAAAACTCAGTTTCAGAAATGGCCTATGTTGTTTATGCAAATCCAGTTGACCAGTCCCTTTGAACTGCAAGCCAATCATTCCTCAACAGATTCAGGCTAAACGGTCTTACTGTGACCTTCACTTCTGTCAATATTTGCCAGTGTTTGCAGTCCACCTTGTGCAGCTCTCTCCAGCATAGTGGGTGGAGGTGGGGAAGTGAGAGAAGTGCATTCCTGGTGATTTCCCAAGTACAACCTAACTCTGGGTGCTGCCGCCCACCCTCCCTCCTCAAATACCAGGTACCCTAAGGCTTCAAGCAACACTGAAGCCCGAAAGCTCAAGGAAGTCAACTAACCTTACCTGTCTCTGACAGCCTCCAGACCGTGTTGCTTCCCAGAAAGGAGCGTGTCCTGGTGGATTCCAAACTTGAGGAGGGCTCCAGAGTCCGGCAGCAACAACAGAGTCTTTGTTTGCTAGGTCTGCACCCGGTTTCCCATTCCATGCTCTTCAGAGCAGGACTTGACCTGAGTCCAGAGTCAACCAAATGAACTGAGAGATGAGGGGAACGCTTTGGTCTTAGGAATGAAAGCATGTAAATTTGCTTTTGGTTTCCCATGGTTGCCTGTTCATGATGATTACAGCCATTAACTGGTTGTCTACGCACCAATTATAAAACTGGGGTAAAATTACTGAAAATTTTAGGTTTAAATAAAATAACATAAAACATCATAATAAATATAAAGCATAAAGATGCAGTGAAGTCTCAAATGTGATTCTCATCCCCACCCTTTATCATACTATGTTAATGACTTATTAATGCTTTTCTCCCACACTAGAATGTTAAAAAACAAAGTTCACCTGAGTAAATTTCAAAACCTAGTTGGTTTTATCCAGCAAATCATGAATCAGGCAACACACCATCTAGTAAACAGAAGGGCCCTCTGAGGAGCTATACAAAATGCAGGGTTTTAATTACAGGAGAGTGGGGCAAGGGAGTTATTAACAAAAGAAAAGGAATAATTGTTTCAGGGTTGGTCACCTTCTTTTGGGGAAATGATGAGAATGTAATCTTGCTGTTTATCTCAATTGTACTGACCAGAAAACTCCAGAGTGGTCCGATTATGATTATATTCCTGGGGAAGGTCAAAATTGCAATTAGGTCAAGTATTAAATCTAGGTTTGGCATCAGGACATTAGCAGAGATGACACCATTTGGGACCTGTGTTTCTCGCTTTAACAACTGTCAACAACTCTAGAACAGGAGTGGTGCCTCATCTGTGTTTGCAATCCCTTCCTCTGCATTCTTAATGCAAAGTAGAATCAGCTGCTAAATGAAGTAAAAGCAATGCAAGGTAAATAAAAAGAACAGTCACCCAGAAACTCTTACCACAGCTCCTCGAATCCATACTGATAGCTTATCATTGATTATATGATAATCATCTTGTATGGTGTTTCCATATCTTTGGTCAACTAATATGTGAGATCTTACAGTGCAAGCATCTTTTAAAGTATAATTTTCAAAAAATTAATACATGGCATTTATGTAATTATAAAATGAACATGTGTCAATGATTTTATTTGATTCATTAATTAATGAAGAAATTATTAAGATACTACAACTAACTTAAAGAATTTGAGGAACAGAGATATGAAATATATAGTCAGTCAGTCAAAGGCATTCTAAAATGGCTTTTCTACTAGAGGCAAAACTGGTTAATATGCTGAGCAGCAAATTGTAATATTTGAAATCAGCTTTTCTAACTGATGGCAATTAGCTGAATCTCCATTGGACAAAATTCATTTGTTTTCTGTGATCAGGAATCACTTGTATAGTTCTCTGAAAGGAGTCATTTTCACTCCCATCCATTTCTACAAATTAACTCTACTCTTATAGAGAGTTGTAAAAAAGCCAAATTTTTTTTAAAAAGGCAATCAAAATTACACACATTATGGAATCAATAATTGCTAGAGAGTGTCTGCTAGAGAATACTCAAGTAAGCCATTACAAAATGTCTCCATTGATTTTTTTCCTTAGTTCCAAGTTTTCAGTAATTTTTTAAATTAATTTATTTTTTATTGAAGGATAATTGCTTTACAGAATTTTGCTGTTTCCGTCAAACCCCCAACATAAATCAGACATAGGTATAAATATATCCCCTCCCTTTTGAAACTCCTTCCCATCTCCCTCCCCATCTTACCCCTTTAGGGTGACACAGAGTCCCTGTTTGAGTTTCCTGAGACATACAGCAAATTCCCACTGGCTATCTATTGTACATATGGTAATGTAAGTTTCCATGTTACTCTCTCCATAAATCTCACCCTCTCCTCCCCTCTCCCCATGTCCATAAGTCTATTCTCTATGTCTTTTTCTCCACTGCTGCCCTGTAAATAAATTCTTCAGTACCATTTTTCTAGATTCCGTATATATGTGTTAGAATACAGAATTTATCTTTCTCTTTCTTACAAACTTCACGCTGTAAAATAGGTTCTAGGTTCATCCACCTCTGACTCAAATGTGTTTCTTTTGAAACTGACTCAAAATGTGTTAGAACTGACTCAAATGTGTTTCTTTTTATGGCTGAGTAATATTCCATTGTATATATGTACTACAACTTCTTTATCCATTCATCTGTTGATTCATCTAGGTTGCTTCCATGTTCTAGCTATTGTAAATAGTGCTGAAATGAACAATGGGATACATGTGTCTTTCAATTTTGGTTTCCTCAGGGCATATGCCTAGGAGTGGGATTACTGGGTCATATGGTGATTTTATTCCTAGTTTCTTAAGGGATCTCCATACCATCTTCCATAGTGGCTGTATCAATTTACATTCCCACCAACAGTGCAAGAGTGTTCCTTTTTCTCCACACCCTCTCCAGCATTTAAGGTTTGTAGACTTTTTGATGATGGCCATTCTGACCGATGTGAGGTGAAATATCTCATTGTAGTTTTGATTTGCATTTCTCTAATAATGAGTGGTGTTGAGCATCTTTTCATGTGTTTGTTAGCCATCTGTATGTCTTCTTTGGAGAAATGTCTGTTTAGGTCTTTCCCCCACTTTTTGATTGGGTTGTTTGTTTTTCTAGTATTGAGTTGTACGAGCTGCTTGTATATTTTGGAACTTAATCCTTTGTCAGTTGCTTCATTTGCTATTATTTTTTCCCATTCTGAGGGTTGTCTTTTCACCTTGTTTATAGTTTCCTTTGCTGTGCAAAAGCTTTTAAGTTTAATCAGGTCCCACTTATTTATTTTTGTTTTTATTTCCATTACTCTAGGAGGTGGGTCATAGAGGATCTTGCTTTATGTCATCAAGTGTTCTGCCTATGTTTTCCTCTAAGAGTTTTATAGTTTCTGATCTTACATTTAGGTCCTTAATCCATTTTGAGTTCATCTTTGTGTATGGTGTTAGGCAGTGTTCTAATTTCATTCTTTTACATGTAGCTGCCCAGTTTTCCCAGCACCATTTATTGAAGAGGCCGTCTTGGCCCCATTGTATATTCTTGCCTCCTTTGTTAAAAATAAAGTACCCATAGGTGCATGGGTTTATTTCTGGGCTTTCTGTCTTGTTCCATTGGTCTCTGCGTCTGACTATCTTGATGACTGTAGCTTTGTAGTATAATCTGAAGTCAGGAAGGTTGATTCCTCCAGCTCCATTCTTCTTTCTCAAGACTGCTTTGGCTAATAGGGGCCTTTTATATTTCCATATGAATTGTGAAATTTTTTGTTCTAGTTCTGTGAAAAATGCCATTGGTAATTTGATAGGGATTACATTGAATCTGTAGATTGCATTTGGTAGTATAGTCATTTTCACCATATTGATTCGTCCTACCCTGGAACATGGAATATCTGTTTATGTCATATTTGATTTCTTTTATTAGTGTCTTATAATTTTCTGTGTACATTTCTTTCATCTCCTTAGGTATGTTTATTCCTAGATATTTAATTCTTTTGGTTGCAATGGTGAATGGGATTGATTCCTTAATTGCTCTTTCTGATTTTTCATTGTTAGTATATAGAGATGCAAGTGATTTCTGTGTGCTGATTTTGTATCCTGCAACTTTGCTAAATTCACTGATTAGCTCTAGTAATTTTCTGATACTATCTTTAGGGTTTTCTATGTACAGTATCATGTCATCTGCAAACAGTGAGAGTTTTACTTCTTTTCTGATCTGGATTCATTTCTTTTTCTTCTCTGATTGCTGTAGCTAGGACTTCCAAAATTATGTTGAATAATAATGGTGAAAGCGGACACCCTTGTCTTGTTCCTGACTTAGGGGAATGCTTTCAGTTTTTCACCATTGAGAATAATGTTTGCTGTAGGCTTATCATATATGGCCTTTACTATGTTGAGGTAGGTTCCTTCTATGCCCATTTTTTGAGGAGTTTTCATCATAAATGGGTGCTGAATTTTGTCAAAAGCTTTTTCTGCATCTATTGAGATGATCATATGGTTTTTATCTTTCAGTTTGTTAATATGGCATATCACATTGATTGACTTTTGTATATTGAAGAATCCTTGCATCCCTGGAATAAACCCAACTTCATCAAGGTGTATGAACTTTTTGATATGTTGCTGAATTCTGTTTGCTAAAATTTTGTTGAGGATTTTTGCATCTATGTTCATTAGTGATATTGACCTGTAGTTTTCTTTTTTGTGTTGTCTTTGTCTGGTTTTGGTATCAGGGTGATGATGGCCTCGTAGAATGAATTTGGAAGTGTTCCTTCCTCTGCAATTTTTTGAAAGAGTTTCATAAGTGTAAAATTT